CCTCCCTACTGGGCTATATGAGAGGGTGAGGAGCCACACAAGTGCTGGAGTGAGCCTTGGGCCAAGCACAGAGGAGGGCAGGGGCTCTTCCTCAACTGTGCTGTGCTGCCTTGTCTTGCAGCTTGGCACTGACCTCCTGGAGTGGAGAAGGAGCAATTTATCCTTGCCAAGCTGCTGCCCTCCCACTGCTTTCCCTGACACCCTGGCAGGGCTCACTGGCAAGCTCTACATGTCCCCCAGCGTCGTGGGGATTTCTATGTCAGTGCTTAATCATCAGAACTGCACATGGGGGAGATTGCTCAAAAGATGAGACAGGCTGGCCTTGGCTGTTCCCTTTGTGGTACCCATCAGACAGCATGCTCAGATACACAAAAGCCCAGGAGACAAAGTGGCAGGGCACACTGCAGACTAGAAGGGAAATGCTGGTAGCTAAGGTGGAGAGATAACGCTATCCCTGGAGCCACATCTCTAGGGAAGTTAGGAAGTATCAAGGTCATCCCTCATTTCCTCTAGCTAATTAATCCTGACCCTATTCCCATCGGAAGTGGTAGTAGATGCCCCCCCCACCCCCATTATTGCTCTTAATTAAGCCAGTTAAGGCACAGTGCTAATTCGAAGGCCCCATGAAGCACCCTAAGGCTTTTTGCAGGGCTAGACGTTCCCCCCTCCTCTATGTCTCTCCAGTGGAACTTTGGGGTTGGCTTTAAACATCTCCAGCATCTTCACAACAGTCCTGTGGGGCATCCTGTTCCTCTGCTGGAGTTGTTAGGTGGCTGGAGCTGTTGGGCCCTGTAATCTTGGTGTTCCCCAGCTGAGATGCTCTGGTGAGGCAGGGATGGAGCCTAGTCATGCTCCCAACCCTACTCTGCCTCAATCCTCTTGGCTATGCAGAGAGTTTGGGACCTCATCCTCCAAGCTTGGGTCTCCATGGCTTTTACTGACAGTTAAGTTTCCCTTTTAATCCTTGTTTTTCACCCCAAACCACCTTGATTTTCACCCCTCAAGGTGGCACTTTTAGCCCTGCCCTCCAGTTTTGCCCTCTTCCAGTGTGATCTGATGGGATTTAGATCATTTCTGAGTCCTCTCTCCTCCGCTAGTCTATTTCTTCCTGCTTGGTTTGGGGAGAAAAGCTCATCTTATGGCATTTTCTTTGGTTTAGCAACTTCATGACTGGGCCTGCCCCAGAGGTGCAAGAGGGTGGTTGGAGAAGGGCTAGGGTTAAAATTGGCTGAGAGGCGCTGATCTAATGGAAGCTTGATTCCCTCTTCCATTCCTTTATCCCTCATTGGGACTTTCTCCCCACCTTGTCACCCTGAAATGGCGTATCCGCCAGTGAAGATGGGAATTACCTTGATTTTGCTCTCCCAGAGCAGCCTGAGCTTTGCCTTTCTGTCCCATTTTTGGTTGATGATCCCGTAAATAGGGGATGTTAAAGCAGGTGCTCTCAGGATACAGGATCCCAGGATCCCAGGATCCCAGACAAGGGCTGCCCATAGCCCACACTCAGAAGCTTGCGATGGCTGCCAGGTCTTCCATGTGCCTACTGGATCCCTCAGTACCACTCCATCAGCTCACAGTAAGCCCAGAGCCTCCAGAGCCCTGTTGGGCTTTCTTTACCCCCGGAGCCATGTATCCCATGGAAACACTCACAGCAGGAGAGCCTGATCCTGGCTCTGTGGGAAGATACCTGGGAAAAACTCTTCTACAGGCTGCCCCAACTGGCCCCTTTTTTCCCATGCTTTTTCTCCTTGATTTGCCTCATTCCTTCTCTCTCCCCTCCTGTGTCCTTCCCCTGAACATCCCAGAGTATGTTGGCTACAATCCCCAAAGTTTCTCAGCTCAGTACCAAAAGATTCTTTGTGGCTGCTGTCCTCTGGGACGGGGATAAGAAACCCAGGGCTGGGAAAGTGAGGTTGCTGCTGTGGCAGCGCTGTGAGGCCATCAAGTGCATCAGAAAGCCCCTGCAGTGAGGACAGCTGAGAGGGCGAGGGGAGAGAGGTAGGTGAAGTTTACCCAGCTGTGACAGGAACCACAAGGAAGGGCAGACCCAGAGCACCCAAAGCCATGCTGGGTAGATGGGAGTGGAGGATGGACGGGGGCTAAGGCTGCCAAGAAGGACATGGAGAGGGCAGGGGTGGGGGATGGTGACCCTGAACCACATTTCGTGGGGGAAGCCAACTGGCCTCTGGCTTTGGCTTTGTGCTCTGCTCTTGAGGGCTGAGATGCACCTAGCGTCTGCCCTAACCCCAGCCAGGGTGCATCTTGCAGACTCTGTGCACACAGGGACCCCCTGGGGCAGCCCCTGGCCCTGGCAGCACAACACAGCTCAGCTCTGCTCCTGTCCTTACAGCTGAACTCTCCCCTACCCACTCGTGGGCTTGGCTCACACTGCCTGTGGGGAACAGTCCCTGCCCCACTGTCAGAGTCCAGCACTCTCTAAGCAGGGCCTTGTAGCTATTCCACATATAGAGGGTTTAATGTGTAATGTAAAATTAATATAGTTAATATGTAATACCAAATTTGCTTATTTGACATTACACAGGATTTTGATTTAGTGGAGTGGTACAGCAACACACTTAAATCACAGCACAAGTACAAATTACAGTTAGCAGAGTATAGCAATTGCAATATGCAGTTGAATCACAATACAAATGTGGTTCTCATTGCTGTTCTCTATAACATGCCCACCATCAAAACACTGGGCATCCCCAGTGCCTGGAGGAATACATGGGTTTAAACTAGCTTAAGCCTGTTACTCCCTTCAAACTACTCTTTCTTCTTCAGTTTTCATATTCTTTGTTGGGCTAAGCTGCATATATATACACACCTCCCCCCCCTGCTGATCTGGCTATTTCAGGAAGACGTCTGCACTCTTGATTTAGCTCAGGGACAAACAGTTTCACGGTGAGTTGATTCTCCCAGCTGATAATAGCCACTTGATCCACTCCACTCATATAGCCAGCTGGCCCACTCTGCTGACACACGCTGCTCATCCAGCCGTTCATCTAGAACAAAGGCACCCCCTCACTCCTATCTATGTTTCAGCTTTCTTTGCAAGAGTAGTGGGCAGTCACTCCCTATGTACTTCCCCGAGCTCCATGAGTGCAAAGCCCTTGCCTGTCTCCTCATAGCCTTCTTCCATTGTAAGAAGTCCACTGGCCAGCCATATTAACTCGACGTCAAATTATTTTAATGAAAACAAGCAAAAGGAAGAGTCATAATAGGCACAAGAAACAAGAAAATATAGAGAATATGGCAGAAAAAAAGCCAAAGGAACAGTGAATAGAGAAAAACAATGTCCCAAGACTGGATATATTTTACAGTGAATGGAACGCTGAGTAAAACAACCAATAAGTAAAATGAAACACTCAGTGAAATAGAATTTATTCGCTAAATGAACAGTGACAACGAGCAATGAACAGTCAAATTCAGGAACAGATAACATGGCTGCAAACTGAGAAGCAAAATGAAGAGTGACAAGAAAAACATACTAACAAGAAATCCAAAATAAACAATGATATCACAGAATCACAGAATCACAGAATCACAGAATCACAGAATCACAGAATCACAGAATCACAGAATCACAGAATCACAGAATCACAGAATCACAGAATCACAGAATCACAGAATCACAGAATCACAGAATCACAGAATCACAGAATCACAGAATCACAGAATCACAGAATCACAGAATCACAGAATCACAGAATCACAGAATCACAGAATCACAGAATCACAGAATCACAGAATCACAGAATCACAGAATCACAGAATCACAGAATCACAGAATCACAGAATCACAGAATCACAGAATCACAGAATCACAGAATCACAGAATCACAGAATCACAGAATCACAGAATCACAGAATCACAGAATCACAGAATCACAGAATCACAGAATCACAGAATCACAGAATCACAGAATCACAGAATCACAGAATCACAGAATGGTTTAGGTTGGAAGGGACCTCTAGAGATCACCTAGTCCAACACCCCTGCTCAAGTAGGGTCACCTAGAGCACATTGCCCAGGATCATGTCCAGGCGGGTTTGGAATATCTCCAGCAAAGGAGACTCCACTACCTCTCTGGGCAACCTCTTCCAGTGCTCTGTCACCCTCACAGGAAAGAAGTTTTTTCTCAGGTTCAGACGGAACTTCCTGTGTTGCAGTTTATGCCCATTGCCTCTTGTCCTGTTGCTGGGCACCACGGAGAAGAGACTGGCCTCATCCTCTCGACACCCCCCCTTCAGCTACTGGTACACGTTGATGAGATCACCTCTCAGTCTTCTCTTCTGCAGGCTCAACAGGCCCAGCTCTCGCAGCCTTTCTTCACAGGAGAGATGCTCCAGTCCCCTCATCATCTTTGTAGCCCTCTGCTGGACTCTCTCCAGTAGCGCCATGCCTCTCTTGTCCTGGGGAGCCCAGAAGTGGACACAGTACTCCAGGTGAGGCCTCCCCAGGGCTGAGGACAGGGGCAGGATCCCCTCCCTCCACCTGCTGGCAACATTCTGCCTAATGCACCCCAGGAGACCATTGGCCTTCTTGGCCACAAGGGCACATTTCTGCCTCAGGCTTCACTTGTTGTCCACCAGCACTCCCAGGTCCTTCTCGGCAGAGCTGCTTTCCAGTAGGTCAACCCCCAGCCTGTACTGCTGCATGGGATTATTCCTGCCTAGGTGCAGGACCTTGCACTTGCCTTTGTTGAACTTCATGAGGTTCCTCTCCACCCAGCTCTCCAGCCTGTCCAGGTCCCTCTGGATGGCAGCACAGTCTTCTGGTGTGTCAGCCACTCCCCCCAGTTTAGTATCATCAGCAAACTTGCTGACAGTGCACTCTGTGCCTTCAATCCAGGCCATTGATGGATACATTGAACAAGACTGGACCCAGGACTGACCCCTGGGGGACACCACTAGCTACAGGCCTCCAACTAAACTCTGCACCACTGACCACAACCCTCTGAGCTCTGCCATCCAGCCAGTTCTAAATCCACCTCACCGTCCACTCATCTAGCCCACACTTCCTGAGTTTACCTACGAGGATGTGATGGGAGACAGTGTCAAAAGCCTTGCTGGAAACTCGAACAGAAATTGCCCCAGCACTATCCCACCATCTGGTCTGGCTGGCAAGGTGCCACAGGCAAACAGTTTCCCTGGTCCAGAGAAGGAAGCACTGCCAGCACACCCCTGCAATGCTCAGTGCTGGCACTGGCACAGGCACTGGCACAGGCAGCTCCCTAATGGCTCCTATTCCTCCCTGCCAGAAATTGCTCTCCCCAGGGAACACAGCACTTTGTCCCCAGAGTTCCCTGGCAGCATGAGGGGCCTGCGCTGCCCTGTCCCCAGGCCTCACCAGCATGGTTATCTCGTGTGCTGCAGGCGATGCCTGTCACTGCTTCACAGGGAGCCTCCAGGTGTCTCACCAGCCATGTTTGGGGATTTCCTATGCATGACCTGCAAAGCCAGGCAGGGTAGATCATTACAGAGCATCACCTGTGCAGCAAGAAGCATCCCCGCCAGCACTGCAGGGGTGGGACAAGCCCAGCAGATGGAATAGACATCATGGACACATGGATCCTGCCCAGAAGGATAGGCATTCTGCACCCCAAGAAGGGTTCTGGCTGTGTCATGGGGTTCCAGCATGGCCACCTCCTGCTCAGCTCTCCTGGTGCAGAGGGGAGAAGGGAAGGACTGGCAGGAAATCTCTTCTTCTTGCAGGCACTCAGGCGCTAGAGTACATAGAACAGGGATCACTCCCAGCCAAGTTGGGGTACTCAGCACAACAGGACCCCATTGCTGCTGTGCCTTCCCTGCCTCATGCTGGGAAGAGGCCAAGCCCCATACCAGGCAGGACTTCAGCGCCCTGCTGCTCACCGTAAGGGACTGCAACATGCAGGATCTAGCCTTCAGCAAAAGGCAATGAAGCTCCCTCTGAACAACGTGCGGCTCCCAGGGTGACAGGAGATGCTGCTGCAGGGAAAGCTAGCGGCCCTGACACTGTCGTCAGCCCCATCGCCCCACTGCTGCCCCACAGCAGCCCCTTTGCCTTCCCATGGAGCCAGGCAGTCACTCACTGTGCCCCTTTCACCATTCCAGTCATAGCACCCAGGTTATTTGTGCTTTCAATGCCAGACGTTTGAGTGACCTGCAAGCATCTTGCTTTTTGCGCTGTTCCTTTGGAGGCAATTCAGGGTTTTTTATTTTTTTAAATGAATTCCCTCATTTTTCCAAAGCCCCTAGTCTTGCGTTATCACCCCACAGGGCATTTTGAGCGTCTTGGCTCACCTGGCCCAGCTCCACAGCAAAGCAGATGGTCCTGCTTCTGGGGGACCGTCCTCGTTCCAGCCTCCCCAGCATTGCCACCAACTGCTGCCCCGGCTGCCCTAATCATCCCCATCCAAGCCCTGGTCCTCATCCTGGTCCCTCTCCCGGTTCCACTCCAACCGGCACTTGGCAGGACAGCCCTCATCCTATACTCACCCGGGAGAGTGCAGACTCTCCACCCACAACAGCTCTAGAGCAAGCCTCTTTCCCCAGCTGGTTTTTATGCTGTTACACTGCATCAGCTCTATCTTCTCCCATACAACAGCCCTGCCTGTAGTACAACCTGCCAGGAGACAAAGCAGGGAGCCCCACTCTGGAGCTGTGCTTTGACTGGCATCTTTGGCTCAAATCCTGCTGGCTGGAGAGCCTCAAGCCTGACTCTCCTCCAACCCAGCCCCCAAGCTGCCTGGGGGCCGGCACCATGCCCAGAAGGGGAAACTGAGGCAGGGAGTTGATGGGGGAACAAAAAAGGAGAAAGAAGGGTAAACAACAGCCTTTTCACCTACCTCATAGGGAATATGTGTCTGGGGCCCATCACCACAGGATGCCCTGGCCAGAAGGTCAAGATGAGGTCTGCAGGAAACCCAGCGAGCTAGCATCAGTGATGGGGTGCCAGCAGGGGCTCCCACTGCCCAAATTAGACCAGGGCTCACCAAGGTGGAGGTGACTTGTGCCAGCAAGGAGCCAGCCAGCTTCCTCTAACGGGGAGCAGGACTCTGTCCAAGGCCCAGGGCTGCCTGTGGCGATCACACATGCCTCCTACAAGATGCAGTGGGGCTGCCATGACCACAGCTGCCACTGCTGGCATCTGCCAGCCAAGGTTGTCCTCATGGAAGGAGCGGTGCAGTGCTGGAGATCACAAAATGGGCCCATGTCCCCAAGGACCTTGCCAGGGTCTGACCCCAGATCCTATGCCAGGGATCTGGGGACACCTTCCCTGTCACCTCCGGCACTGGGAGCTGGGTCTTCTGGCCACGAGGCTCTTACCCAACCAGATGCATAGGGGCTTCACCGTCCATCCACTGGGATGCTACTGGCCGTCCAGCTTGGCCTTCAGCTGGCTGACACACAGCAGCTAGAGTTCCACAGGATGGTCCCCAAGAAGGTGAGAAAAGGGGTGAGGATGTCCTGCAGAGGGAACAGGGCACAGCTGAGCTCTTGATGCTGAGCCAGGGACACAAAGGACCAGAAGGCTGCTGTGGCAAGAGCAGCTGAGGGACCACTTAGATCCTGCCTGCTGCCACCCTCCTGGGCCCAGCAGGACCAAGGAGGACCAAACCCCATCCCCCTGGTCACAGGTGCCCTGTCCCAGCACCGGCCCCTGGTCTGCCTCCCCTCCTGCTGCCCCAGGGACACTCAGCACCTTGTACAGGCCAGAAGGGAATGCTGCAGACCCAGCCTCAGTGATACCTCCCCACAGCTGGTGCCACGCAACCCCCATGGACCCTGATGCCTGCTCCCACAGAAGAGCTGGGTAGCCCTCCTGCTGCCCCGAGTGGTGCATGGGGACCAAGCTGCAGCCCCAGCGCCATGTTGCCAGGGTAAGAATTGCCCCTGTGGCAATAGAAATGGGGCTGTGCCAAACCCAGGGGCCACAGGAGACCCGGCACGAGCAGACAGGGGCTCCCAGCAGCGTCCCTGCCTCAAAACTGGGCAGAGCCCCATCCCCAGCATCGCCCAGCTACCACTGCCTGGAGGAACAGCTCTGCAGGGGGAGGCCAACAGCCCGGTGGCAGGGTGTGCCCAAGCTTTCCACCACCTCCTGCCCCACTGTTCCCTCTCTGGAGACAGGGGTCCCCCCGGCTGGGCTGAGAGGTGTCAGCCAGGCAGGACATGGAAAGCATCTTGCCAGGGTAGGGGCATGCAGAAGAGCTGCTCTTCCCCTCAGCTATAGGATCAGACCCCTAGGGGAAGGTCAGGCCAGGCATGGGTCTAGCCTATCTTGCTGACTTCCTGCTAACACTTCCACTGTGCAGGATGTGCTACCAATAAAAGCAAACAGCTCCATTTCCTGCATCCCACTTCAGTGCCTGTTCTGCAGCCCTTGCTTAGGCAAACAGCCTAGCACACAGTCCTTGCTCCATACTGCTCTCAGGACCAAAACAGGGAGCACATCTCCTCTGCCCACCCTGTGTTGCAGGCAGCATGACCAGGCTCGGGCACACCAGGGCACATCTGTCTCCAAAGACAGTAGGCATCAGCCAGCAATTTGCATTTGGTAAAAGCGCTGCCTTATAAGGCCATGGTTCTACTGGGAAAATGAAATTTGAGGGGTGCCAGCTTCTCCTAGCAAACCACCGGCCTGCTAATAATTGCAGGGAAACCAAAGTAATACAAATAACCCAACTTCTGCTACTAAGAACCAGAGAAAGAAAAAGATGAAAAGCTGAGAGGGAGACTTGAGGAAGCCTTTTTCTACTTGCCTGGCCCAGACACAAACAGGGGCTGCACTGGGTTCAGAGCAGGCAGAAAACCTGCCCTGGCCAGGGGAGGCAGTCCCAGCACTGCCAGCTCTTGAAGGGCAGCTCCCAGCACTGCCCTTGACAGAAGGGGCAGAAGGGATCATATTTAGGAAGTTTGGTTTGTTTTTTCTTACCAGTTTCTCCAGTTTCCAGTGCTGGGTCTGCAATAAAAGCAAGATCTGGCCAGCTGCTCCAGCCATCGCTGAGCATCCTTCCCAGGCCGAGCTGGGAGGGATGAGGCCATGCGGAGCAGGATGGAGGGCTCCTGGGGGTCATGGCAGAGAGCGCTGGAGCCAGGGGAGATGCCTGGAGCTGCCTGCTACTGGCATGCTCCTGTCATGTCAGATGGTTAGTGCTGTACAGCCTGAAAGAGAGGGGGTGATGGCTCAGGTGGGACAGGACTGATTCTTCCTTTTCTTTCTCCTTCTGGCACTGGCCTGTGCCATACCTTGGGCCACAGCAGGACTTCAGCCAACCCCAGCATGACAGCAGCATCCCCAGGACACAGCCAGGGGCACTCCTCAAGGCCTGACCTGCTGGGGGCTCAGCCCTGCCCAGGCCCTACACAGCAGAGAGGCTTTGCTCTGCTGTCTGAAGGGCTAGGATGGGAACTCACTGCACTGCCCTGCCCTGCCTGGGTGCCAGGCTCAGTTCACAATGCCTTGGGGAATCTGTCCAATAAAGAAACTTCTCCTGACAACGCCTCTGCTTCTAGGCACACGCATGACCATCATCAGTACTGAAAACATCCCCCTTTTCCCAGTCATCCCAGGACCCTGATGACACAGAGGCCCTTGCTTGGCCACCAGCTCCCGCAGGACCCACTCCCAGCTCTCATACACTCAGGGGGTGGGGGAAGGAGGAAGGGGGGCGGTTGGAGCAGGGGGCTGGGCACAGCAGCAGGCCCACGTGCCCTACTCCAGACCCCTAAAGCTTTTCTTTCCCACATGCATGCACACATGGGTCAAACAACTCCTTTCTGAGGCTCCTTCTCAGCAACTCTTTCCTCTCACCAGCCACCACCTCCTCGGCCCAGGCAAGTGCCTGTGGAAGGCCTCAGGGGTCCCCGGGGAGCTGCCAGCAACCGGTGCCCCCTTAGCACCTCTCTGTGTCACTAGAGCCCCGGGGGGGCAGGGAGCTAGAGGACCCAAGGGAAATCCAGGCAGGGACTAGCTCCTCCGGGTGAGGGGGGCCATTTCCTGCAATCGCTGCAAACCAGCTACGCCTCAGCATCAGCAGGCCAGCACGGTGCTGCCATGCACCTCCCCACCAGCCCCAGGTTCGGCCCCAGCCTTCCTCTCCGGCCCCTCTCCTCGGGGAAAGGCCATCTCACACTGCCTCCTGCGCTCCGGGCCCTTCCCTTGCTGCTCCCGCCGCGCGGCGGCCCTACACCCCCACCAGCTCCTGACGGTGCTACCGACCCGCGGCCCGGCCTTGTCGGGCCTACGCAGAGCGAGACAGGAAACCGCAGGGCCCCGGAACCCGCTCCGCGGGAAGGGGCTGTCGCGCCTGCGGAGCCCTCTTAGCTCGGGCGGGCGCGGTGGGGGATGTGGGGCTGCTCTTGCCCTGGGAGCGGCCCCGTGGCGCCGGGAGTGGGACAGGGGGTCCGGGACAGGGTCCTGGCCCCGCCCCGCCCCCCTCTTCGTGCCCCTTGGCCTGCCCCGGCCTCAGGCCGGTTCTGCGGGATCCCTGATTGGCACCGAGGGCAGCGGGGCTCCCTTGCCCCGGGACTCCATCCCGTCCCCGTCCTTTGCCCCGCAGAGCGGGAGCCACGCAGGGTGCTAGACCCTACCGGGAGGCAGCCCCACGGTGGGATGGTGGGGGGGCTGTTTGGGCAGAGCCCTGCCTGCTGACACCCCTTGCCCAGGCCCAGGCAAGGGGTCCCGAGCAGTCCCCGAGTTCATGCCGTGCTCCCCATAGGCTATTTCTTTCATCGTTCTGGCCTAGGGACTGCACAGAGGGATATCTTATGGGCCCTGCAGCCCTTGGTGTTCAACAAGTTCCTTCCAACGTGTTTTTGGCAGCAAGTCATGGCATGGCCCCTGCCTGGGAACGTGTTCAGGCTCAGCCAGTCCCAAGGTGGGGGTCTGACTGCCTGTGCCCAGGGAGGTGCATAAGTGGGCAGGATGGCAAGGGTGGCCATGGGGAAGCGGCAGTGCTTGTGAGGATGCTGGAGGAGCTGTGGGATATGCTGCTGCCATGGTGTGTGAGGGGCTGTCCTGATTTGTCCCAGCTGTGATGGGAACCTCTGAGGTTTGAGGTCTGCCTGGTCATGTCTGCAGTGCCAGTTGTCCTCCCACCGCTTACCCCCTCACTAAAGATGTGCAGAGGTGTTGTGTTCACAAATACACAGAGCGAGCACCCCGCAGCACACGGCAAAGGGACCTGCACAGTGGTCACAATCCCAGCACGCAGCTGAAGGCCACCTAAGGTACCACGAGGCTGCAAAATTTGCCTGCCTGCTCTGGCTTGCACCCACAGGCAGGGGTCCGGGGTGCAGAGAGCCCATGGGCACAGCAGGGTTGTGCTTTCAGGGGATAGCATGTCTGCAAGACCAATCCTTTGGCCCTCCCCGTCCCTCCTCCCCATCATGGCCAGCCCCTTGCAGCTCTCCCCTCCCCTGCAGCCTGGGTGCCTCTGGCCGGACCTGCGTAAAATATAAAAGGCTGTTTGCTTGGAGACGCTGAAAGGATCCCAGCCAAGTTTGCCATGGGGAGTACAGGCATTGGGGCTGCGCTGCTGACACTGTTACTGCTCCTGCAGCCCACATCCCAGTTCTGGCTCTTCAACGTGCTCTTTCCACCCACCTCCACCCCAGAAGCACCCCCGACCAACAGCACACCACCCGTGGTACTCGGTAAGATCACGCATGCTGGCCTACAACCTGCCAGCCCTGGCACCAGGCAGGGGCACAGCAGGCATCCTGGGCTCTGCTCGCTGGGGCGCTGCACAGCCCCAGAGCTGGCTAGAGGCAAGGCACATTGTTCCCGGCAGCATGGGGAACTGCTTGGCGTGTCTGTTGGCTGCAGTGGGAGGCTGCAACCCCCTTTGCAGTCTCTGGCTATCTTACTGTGCTGGTGGAGCCACCTCAGGGTGGTGACACAGAGCTCCCAATCCCGCACCTATCGGCAGTGCTGGGAATACAGGACCTGCCATGCCTGGCCACAGCTCTTCAGAGCCAGGAGGGCAGGCTGGGTACCCCAGAAAGCAAGTGGGGCTCAGAATATCAAGAGCTGGATAAAATGGTGTTTTGGGGCTCACTCCATTTGGGGGGGGCTGTGCTGGCATAGGGACAGGGCCTGCAAGAGACCCTAGTGCTGTGGCTTCCCACTGCTGCTGCTGCCATCCCAGTAAGCCTGTATCCACAACCTTGCTGCCCCCAAACCTGTCCCAATCCCCCATGTCTTTTGTTGCTCCATGATGATGGTTAATTTCATCCTCCCCTGCTGCTGAAGGGCATCCACCTCATGTTAGACCAAATGTCCACTCTTGCCTGGGGAATAGCATAAGGGTGGATGAACTAGCAGGCAGTTTCTCTGCTTAGCTGAGATGCAGAGAGAGGCAAAAGAAGAGGCCTGGGGAATCACCTCAGTGAGGTGGAGATCAGTTTTTGCCATGAAATCTGTTCTGAGCAGAGGTTTCTTCTCCTTTTTCTTGAATCGAACTAACTGAGTTTCCCTTTTAAAAAGAGAAGAGAAAAGCAGAACTGCCTGACATATGGCCTTGGACTGACACTATAAACTCACTTCTCCATGGGCAGGCCTCTGTGCTTGGGGGCAGCAGAGCAGCCTGCACAGAGCCCCACAGCCTGGCACATGGCAGGCGTGGGTCAGCCGTGGCCTGCCAGGCTCTTTTACTTAGTGGTTAAGAGGCAGCAGGATTAAAGAGCACAGCCTGGTGCACGGCATTGTATCTGGAGCCTGAGTGGTGCAATGCAGGCACTGCTTAGCCATGCCAGAGGTCAGGAGGACACAAGGAGGCCTGGTGGCTGTCACCATGCAGGGCAGGGAATGATGTGGTACAAGTAACCTTGTGCATCTTCTCAGGATGGTCTGTGGCAATAAAAGCTTCTCTACCATCCCACTGATAGGCCCTGCAAAATGGGGCAGGTTGGGTCTTCCCCCACAGCTGCTCTGACTGCCCACCAGCAGCTCCCCCAGACCCTAAACAACTCCTCTGCCTTGGCCTGGCCCCACAGGAATCTGGAGTCCAGGTCCGCACACCCCAGGGCAGGTGCCTGTAGCCCCAAGCCTTGCCTCCTCCGAAGCACCTGCATCTACTATCCCAGCAGAGGCAGTGCCCCATGGCACTGGGCTCCTGGTTCTGCCCTGTGCCCCCAGTGCCAGCCTCAGCCTTAGCCAAGGCTGGGGCACTCAGGCTGCTGGGGCTGCCCCTACAGCTGGTGCTGAGCCAACATGCCAGGAGCATGCAGTCAGCCAGGAATGCTGCGACCAAACACCCTGTGCGCCTGTCGGCATCCACATGTAGCCCATCCCCCTCAGCCGGGCGTCCCAGAAACCCCCAGTGCCCTTGGGACCAATGATAACCCCTTTGCCCCAACAGGAACTCCCTTAATAATTACCTAATGTCCTTTTTAAGGTGAGGCAGAGCTCAGGGCTGTGCACACCGGGAGCGTGGGGGCCTGGTGCCCACAGGGCCTGGTGCCCACAGACTGGGAGCCAGCTGCAGCCGCAGTCCAGCAAGGTAACAGGATGTCTGCCCCATGCCACAGGTGCTCCTGACAGTCCCTGGCACCTCTGGGAGCTGTTAGCCCTCTGCTGTGGCCCTGTGGGGCTCAGGGTGATTGCCTGCCGCAGGAGCTGCCCTGGACTCTTCTCTTGCTCTCAGAGCAGGTCTGGCAGCCACTCACTGTCCGCTCCCCTGCCTGTGCCTGGTGTCTCATATGCAAAGGTCCACTCGGGCACTGGGGAGGATATCCTGACCCCCACTAGGTGCTTTGGGGAAAGATGTCCTGACCCCCACCAGGTGATCTGAAGGCAGGATTAGGCCCTTCCTGTATCCCTGAGGAGCTACAACAGGTGCTAGGGAGCTATGAAGCAGGTTGAGCAAGGCAACCACCATATCCCATTCCCCGCTCACATGGGACAAGGCTTTCAGAGGCTGTGACTATGTTCTGCATCTTTTAGTTGGGGCCACAATAGGTGAGGTGGGGCTGGAACATTGGTCAGGGTGCCTTTGCACCCTTCTGCATGGGCACGTCTAGCTCCCCCGAACACCCACTCCCATAGGCCCCAGGGCACGGGGACACCTGGGCCTAGCAGGAGCTGGGGGAAATGTCCTGCTGGCATCTGACAGATGGGACACATCGTTCTTGGGTCAAAGACAGCCTCACCTGTGGCTGAATCCCTCAGCCCTAATGCCAGGGAGCATGGCTTACATCCAGCTGTACTTGTAGGGTCTTGCAGCCACAGCAGAGCCCTTCTCCAGGCTGCAGGCCAGCTCAGGGCAGGCATCTTACAAAGACATTTGGCCACAGTCCTGTTGTCGCTGCCACAGAGCGGTTTGCTGTGTCCTTGGGAGAAGTGATGTGAAGGACCACATCTTCCAGGGCCTGTGGAGGAGCTGGGCCAAGCCCAGGTGTCCCAGCCATGCCACCAGGCTCTTCCCAGCCCCATGCTCTCCCAGTGCTGCCGAGCGTAGAATGCCACGAGGCTCTGTTGCTGATACACTCAGTCAGCAGTGGGGAATCACCCTATCTGGTCACATGGTGAGCAACATAGAGGACAGTGCTTGCGGCAGCTTTAAGACATATGTCATTCCTCAGCAGATGTGTCTAGGGCCAGCCCTCACAGCAGGGTGGACCCACTGCAGCTGTAGGGTGCAGTCAGCACCCAGTGCTCCCATCCTCTCAGGCTTGCAGCCATGATGCCCTGCAGTCTTTTCACTTGTGCTCGCCCAACCCTTTGGGCCAGCACTGACATCCGGAGACAGCTCTCAACTCTTGCACACTGGCTGGGAACAACCTCCCAGCACGGGCTGTGGCAGAGCAGAGACATATTTCAGTGCAGCACAGCTTCCCAGCCCCCATCCCTGCCAAAAAAACAAACTGGACCTCCTGAAGGTGGACAGGGCGTCCTGGTGCTACATCTGTTGAGGGAGCCTGGGTCACATGTGGCAGGCCGTGAACCTGTTTAAAACAGCTTTGTGTTTACTGTAAGTGATATTTGCACTGAATTCCCACAGGGTACGGTCCTGCTCAGAGCTGAATCATTTCAGGGACCTTGTTCAGCCTGTGTGGAGGGTTTAAAGTTCAGGAAAACAGTGTGTGGGCCTTGGGCATCAGCACGGGGACAGCTTTCACCTTGGACGCCTCTTTGGGGCCTCTCCGTGCAGCCCCAAGCTGGCCTGCTACCGCAGTGCAAAATGCCTGGGGTGACAGCTGGTGCGATGCAACCACTTTCAGGGCAGGTGGCAGGGCTGGGTCCCAGCAGCACTGACTCTTTCCCTCAGGCCGGAGAG